ATTGGCTGATGGTTTCAAGTTTGCATTTTGGTAAATGTGTTCCTTCCTTTGCTCTCCATAGGAAGCAAAACCTATACTAGGGGTGGGGAAGTCCAGGCCTCAAGGGCCGGTGTCCTGCAGGTTTTAGATCTCACCCTGGGTCAACACACCTGAGTCAAATTATTAGTTCATTACCAGGCCTCTGGAGAACTTCAAGACATGTTGAGGATGTAATTTATCCATATAAATCAGCTGTGTTGGTTCAAGGACACAGCTAAAACCAGCAGGACCCGGCTCTTGAGGCCTGGAGTTCCCCCACGCCTGACCTATACAAACACAACTGTTCTGTACTAGTCAGACTGCAAACAGAAACCAGTACCAAAAATCATGTTCCTTGATAATATCTGCATCTACCTAGAGATTACCTTTATTGCTACAAATTAGGTTGTAGAGTAATATTAATGTGCAAATACAGCAATTGCTGCAGACTGCTGCTTAACAGGTAAAGACACTATTTAACAGAAACAACCATGGAAGACTAGATGTTGACATCCTGACTCTTAGTACACATATGGTCTTGCTAACAGCTTTCAAGTATTCCGAATTGTGTTTAGGTACTTCCCCCTACAGTGTATACAGACTGCATTTTGCTATGATGGCACAAATACAAACACACTGACAGGTTTACAAGGTGAAACTAACAAAACATCCTGCGAAACCCTTTCCTGGGAGATCCTCCATCAGATTCTTGTGCCCTTTTGGTCTCTCTACTGCTGAGAAAGTAAAATCATTTTGCCATCCTGATACGTGCGTGGTTGTCAGAGGTACTTACTGCACAGACTTCGAAGACTGGGACCTGAACTTGCTAAACTCGCCTGGAGCGGTCCACTCTGTCCCCAGCTGCAATACAGAAGAGACAAGACACAGGTCAGAGAGAAGTCTACGACAAGCTGGGGAAGAGAAAGGGGCTCCACAAGCCTCAGAGCAGTATGAAAAATTCAGTTTGGTTTGCAAATCTTTTTAGAAATCAGCTGTGTGCTAAATAAAATACCAACTTTATCTTCATTGGGTACTGACAGAGACTGGTGTCTCAGTTAGCAGGTGGATGTCCTAAACGTATTTTTAAGTCAGAAATTGGATTGGTGGATCGCAAAGGACACCAAAAGATCCTGACTGCCTCCCTGGTTAGCAACATAAATGAAAAGAAAATGGGAAAACAAGCTAATACATCCCAAAACAACAGGAAGAGTCAATCAGAAGGAAAGTTTGGAAAGGCAAAGTGAGCTAACAAATGAGAACTAATGACAATAAACAGACAGAAATAGAGGAAGTCAGATTCCCTGCCAATGTTGACTCTGAGAAGCCAGCTCATCTAAACCCCTGGGGTTCCTGTTTTGGCCCTGTAGTTGAGTCGGTGCCCATTCATTCTCTCAGCAAGCCAACACAAGTAATTAGGGCCCCTGCTGTTGCTGATCCATAATGAAAGAATGAAACTAAGATCACAGTGGGCATGTCTTTAATTGTTTGTGTTGGCCACACAACTGAGTTTGAGACCGGTCAAAAGACATTGTTGTGAGTGGTGCTAACAAATCAAAAGAGACAGTAAATAGCTGTTGATCCTCAATCTGTGTAACACAATACATGTTCACAGAGAAAAACATATAGTGATGCACATGCATACACAAACGAATCAATATGGCAATTGTACAGTGACATATCTGAATGTGTTTGCTGGCATGAAAGGAGAGGCCCTATGATAATAAACCTTAAGATCATGCAGCCTGTCCAAAGCCAATCAGGCCCCTGGCAATGCTGACGCCTCTGAGAGTCTTTGTGAGGCTACTGAGTAGAGAGGAGGAGGACACAATGTGTGCTACTGTGCTTTCAACTCTGGAGCCCACAGCATCTTGCTGCCACAGTGCATATTCACACCAACATTCCCTTCAAATATTCCTCCGGGTAGGAGTTAGGTCACTGAAAGTGAATATCAGGGAAGCTAGCTAACCGAGCACTAAGCAAAGTACTCCAGTACCTTTGCATTAAAGATGAAGATACGTGAGCATTTACTGGAAACAACTGTAATAAACTTTGTCCTCATATTTTTTGTGCAAACTTGTTACCGTACTCGAATGTTGTGTGTCAGCTGTTTTTGTATGTTATTTAAAAAAGATAGACTCACTTCTTATGCTGATAAGCTAAAATCTGCCATGTGGATATGACAGCCTACAGAGTGAATGTCTGTTAACTGTAAAATTGTGCCGCTGGATACCAGATGTAACGGCTAACCGTTTGATCTGTTACACCTATTACTTACAGTTTTATCAGTCACAACAATTCCACACATGCTTCTATTACTTTCGACAGTTAGTAACCGAACTCCATGACAGTTAAAATAACTCACAAGTTTCATAAGACTACACGAGGCATTTCTGTAGAAGTGTAAAATCTTTTAAAGCAGAGGAAATTGGTGAGAAATGCAGCACTAAATTGAAATAGTCAACCTATGAGAAGACATTATTGAAAATGCCCCTATTACTGTACTGTACTTGCACGGTTTATGTTATACTCTCCCTTCTTTCAGGGGTTTTTTTCCTGAACATAAAAGGTAAAATAGAAAGCTATCACACAGCAGAGACAGCACAGGAAAAATATCAATCTCACCAAGTCACATCATCTAGTGCTGACTCTACATGCAGGAAACCTTCTGAGGGCGCATACAGGAAATCATTAAATTATATCTCTACAGACATTCGATTGATTTCAAAAGTAAATAGAATTTTTGGAGTGAAACTTGGTTTTATATAACTGGGATTATATTTACTCCATCCTTTGAGCTCTAAACCTTTATGTGCCACGAGACGACTTACCTATTTATGCTCTGCAAAAATAGTTGATGATTTAGATTATTTTCCGAGCAGCTCAACAAAATATAGGATTCAGTCATCTGAATGAAAACAAAAAGTCAGGGTGAACATAATTCAAACTTAAAGCCTTTTTATTTTTCAATTTAATTGTCTTTTTGTGTTTCTTTTTTATGGTAACAAAGACATCAATCAACGGTGCGCATTGTGGTTACAAGGACAAAAGCTCTCTAATGAAAGGAGCAGATGTTCTTTAAGGTGCACATGCAGACGTGCATAACACACACACACGTGCACGCGCGCACAAAGAAATGTTTTCTCACTGAAGGATGAGTCATTGCTTAGTGAAGGCAGCATCTCCTCACCAAAGTCGGGAAGAGGTAAATCAGAAAGCAAGCAGCCAGAGATTGATGATGGGTTACTCACTCACAGGCACACACACTCCTCATATTACACCTTAAAACACAACTTCTCACTTGCATTTTGTCATATTGTACTTCTACTTCTGAAGTCCCCTATAAAAAAAATATAAGCCGGCAAACTTGGCAATCCAATTTCTTAAACTTAAATTGATCGAAGAAGCCAGAGAGATAGGACGCTCATGTACACTCTTTTTTTTTTTTTTCATCTGTAAAGCAGACACAAACACCCACATCTGTGTGTGAACCTCACCCGCATATATGGGTACCTTAAGAAATCTAATTTCAGATGGCCACTGGCCCTGAAACACTGAAAAGCGAAACACAAAACAGGGTCGAGAGATAAAAGAAATATGAGTGTGCAGTGGAGCTATGGAGACATTACTCCTCTTTCTATCAGCTCCTTTTCTCCGCTGCCCAAATAAGACGAGAAAAGTAATAGAAAAACAGCTGACCTGTGATATAATGTAAGTGCTGCTTTCTTTCTCTTATTCTGTCTTGCCTTCAATGTGTTTTTTCAATTGAATCCAAACTGCGAAATTTTAATGACTAAAAGCTCCTCAGCACGCTTTAACCTTTTACCAGCACTGCTGAAGAGGTGGACACAAGGACATACCGGGATTGGTCTGTGCGTACTGTTTATGTCGGCTTTTATTCAATTTAAGTACACTGTCAATAAAAGAAAATAAGGGACAAACTTTAAATGAAAATTGTGCCAGTGCAACGATCCTGACATTCTACATGTATTGGCTATAAAAATATTTAAATTTAACAGACACCTTATCTATGTTTTTGGATACAGCTGCATTTTCTTTGAATGTATGGCAAAGCAGAGATATAACCTTAGAATGATACAATAAAGCACCTATGGTTATTAACAGGGGATTTAGCTTTATCCTGTTACTGCTCAGGCATCACTCCTCTCTCACACTCAGCTTGAGCAATTTCCTGCCTATCACTAATCAGTCTGTTTGCACACACTACAGACATTTTGGCATGCTGCGAAGCGTCACAACAGGAAAGCATAGTTCTAACTAATATTAATTATAGCCACATTCCATTTAGGACTCTCAGTTCAGTGGCCGTCATCATTAAAGTCATTAATTCATAGTGTGAATGAAAAAAGCTATTACATAGCAGAGAATGTAGAAGACTTTTGAAAATGCTTCATGCTGAACCACACTGATGGTGAAGAAGTTCAAGCCTCACATTTTGCCAGCTGGTTGAATCAAGATGAAATGAAAACAAAAACATTTACAATTCTACCTGTAATAAGAAAAACCGACCCTATTTAAATTGGATCAATCTTCTTTTCCAGCTCGTCTCCCTGCTCACCTCTGGAGAACCTCCAGCAACGCTGCTGTTCTTGGCTGCTGTCAAGGCTGCATTTGACTACTTATATGTTTTGCTTTTGAGATGCCCCCTGGATCTGCTCCAGCGTTTCAAGGTAGTGACCATTATAGTTAATTTTAGAGAACACGAGAAAACCACAGAAACACATTTGGCCAGCAGTTTAGTGACAATGCAGAGGCTGTTCTCCCTCATAACCCTCATCTGATCCAGGGGGGTGAAAAAGGACAAGCATACTTGTGGTCACACTTCTAACCTGATATACCATCTTTCAGTTTAGTTATTGCATACCCTTCATGCAATCTGTAAACCCAGCAGCTGAGAGATAGCAGTTTCGGCTGTCATCATGAATGAAGGCCCTCAACAGGTCAGTTTGACAGAGAAGTTGTTCTCTGCTCAAGTGTGAGGTTCATGATGAAATTACAGAGCATAGGCTCTGTCACAGGATTTCTGGGGAAAAATTTAAATGGAGCAGTAACCCTTAAAGCAATTCATAGACATGGAAGAAGATGATATTGAAGGGAAAATCAGGTAAATTTAGATTCAGTACAGCCCATTTGTGCTGTCGTAGTTGTGCTGGACCCTATTCCAGCTGTCATACGGCGAGAGGGTCACCGATCCATTGTAGGGCTATAAAAAAAAGAACATTAAAGTATAGATTTCGGGGTTTTTTTAATGGTTGGAGCTGCAAAATTTCTTGATTGCACCATTTGTAATAAAAAGAAATAAGTGCACTTGGAGCCAAAGACCATGAAAGTTTTTGTTTACATATTTTGGTATCATTAAGGATGAAGTTGGTTGCTTTAAAATTTGAATTTGAATTGACCAGTTTTCACACATTGCAATCTACCATAAAATCAACCTTCAGATACTTTAAATGGATGTGGACCATCAAACCTACTTTCATGCCTGAATTAATTTTTTTCAGTCATTTTCGAACTGCAGGTGTTACAGTCATTCGGATGGGCTTGTATGCACACATGTATCTAACTATAACACGAATAACAGCAGACACAGACGTGCTGTGTACTGTGATAGATTGCCCGTCTCAAGCAATGTTAAAATTTAAAACCTGGCTGTATCCATTTTCTTCCCTGTCAAAATGCTTTTTCTACAAGGCTAAAGAATAAAATGTATCATATGCGCGTTGTCGCTTTGAATCCAAAATCCTATTCAGTGTCTTTGATCAGGTGCTTTTACCTGGTAAAACGATGGGGCATTTGAAACTCATTAACCACTGTTGTTGCAGACATTTTTATTCACTGTGGCA